GCAAATAGATATTATGTCTTGAAGACCACCAACTTCAAGCTTCCCTAAGGAACAAATAGATGCTCCAACCACATAGAATAATGAGTATCCAGCATAATCATTTCATCCAGGGACCAGGGTATGTGTTAAAAGTCCTGAACAAATATCAGCTTAAGCTGTAGCTGTTCATGAGATGCCGTCATAATTAAAGAAAAGTAATACCCTAGAATCCAAAGTTGTTAATGGATGAAAGGGTAGCATAAGACTTCTATAAATCATTTGTGGGCACAATATGTTAATGAGTTCCTAGGGAGAATGGATTTCCTCTTCTTCTTTTTCTGCCGTTTCATCTAAAATAAAATCAACTTTGAACTTGAGCACCTAATCCAAACCATATGATTCTACTATTCTATTACTCCAGCACTGTCTTACTAAACCTTCAAACTTTTGAATTCCCAAGAGAAGATCAAACATTGTAACTAAAAACATAGGATATCTGCTTTCACAAACATAATGGGATGTACCCTTTGCCTCATTGGTCAAGCGTAAATGGCTGATAGATTCCACACTAACATAAATAAGAGGAGGCAATAGTCCATGACCTCAACAGAACATTTAACAGCTACATGCTGAGTTAAAACTAATACAGACAGAGCATACAATAAACAGAAATCCAGACACAAACTACGCTAAACGAATGTCCAAAAGGCTATTTACTGCAAGGGAGGAAGCCCATTAAGGTCACCATCATTTCAGAGCTGAAATATTCCTGAAGAAGCAGGGATAGGCTGCATTGAGCAAGAAACCTGCCAAGGCTTCAGCAGAGGATCAGGCAATTGAGTAGCATCCCCAACCATTTCCAAATTCTTGATCACATCATTCAATGATCTTAATCTCTCAGTCAATTCAGTTAGCCGAGCTCTCAAGACATTATTCTCAGCTGCACAAATCATATATTTCTCTGTAATCCCATCAATCTTGCCCTCAATGCCATTGTTTGCCACCTCCAAGCTGCCCATTTCATCTGTCAAATCCTGCAATTGCTTTTGCTTCCTCATCCTTGACCTCCTCGCAGATTCCCTATTGGAAATCATTCTTTTCCTCTTCTTTTCATCCATCATTGCATATCTCTGATCACTTTCTGATGACATTCTCTATTTGGGCCTCCTTTATTTTCTTAAACAATGTGGATTAAACTAAAAATGCTAACTTTTTCTACAATTTCAGGGACAAGATTCAGATGAAGCTAAAAATCGAAGGCCTTAGAATCTGGGCGTTATATCAAAAAATCACATAGAAATGGTAAAGAAAAACAACAGAGAAAGATTGGAGAAGACAAACGCCCAAAAGGGTTGTGCAAACTATAGAGATCATAGATTGATTTTTCACCACAGGAAAGAAATCTCAATTTTCGAACATTTCACCACCAGAGACCCCCCAAAAAAAAAATGCAATCTTGATCAAGATTAAGAAAGGTACCTATAAATGGATAACAAAAAAAACAAAAAAAAAAATAAGAAGAGAAGAAGTGCACGGTACTCAACTTCAAGAAAGCTAACCTGATGAGGCCTGATGGCTGTAATGGTGTTGGACTAATTTGGTGTGGTGTATTAAAAGTCTAGTTTTGGAGGTGAAAATGGATAAGGGGTGGTGCCAACAATGACAGCTGTTTCAGAAAAATAGCCTCGTGGGATTATCCAAAAATGCAGAGCAGTAATTTAATTCAAGGAACTTTCGCAGGCCAGTCTAATCGTTATCCATCTTATCTTTAAAGGGAAAAGCCAGGCTTATTAGTCAAACAAAACTGTTGTCTGTCTGGTAATTCTGCCATTGCAGTCAAAAGGAAATGTGAAAAAATCTGTCACTTTCAAAGCGTTTTTGTATTAAAAGATTAGTTGAATTTTGCCTGCGTGAACTATTTCACTACAGTTAAACAAATTTTGATCGAGCTTGACTCGAGATTCGGTTCGATTAACCCAAAACTCGACTCGACTCGACTCGTTTACAGTCCTAACACCAGAGCATTCTTTTGACATTATCGCATCCATTTTTCCTCTAACTCCTGATACAATTCAACTAGATTCCCCTTTCTATGTAGGCCGTAGAATAGTATTGCCGATCAATAAAACAAAAAACTATCTCACTGCAAATAAGTAGTACGGTAGCATTTTGCCTCAGAAAAATATCAATTATAATAGGTGTTTGGATCGTTGTTGAATTATCTCAAATAATATTTCAATTGCATCATAAACATATTTTTCAATCTATTTTTTATATTTTTAATTATTTTTTTATTTCATATACATTACACCATAAAAAATATTATAATAATTATTTCAAATAATATAATAGTACATCACATCACCTCCAAACAAAATAAATATCTTAAGAGTTTCTAAAGGCAGTGACTTGAGGGTCAATGGCCTTTAGTTTGAAAGATTATATAAACTCTCTTGTGTTTTTATAGCATATAGACAAAATGCCCATTTCAGAATAGAAACCCAATTTATAAAAAAAAAAAAAAAAATAGTGACCCAATTATAAATCTCTTTTCATTCTCTACTATGCGAGGAGTACGAGGATAAATTAGAAGTTGGCCCGCAAGGATGAAAACGTTGAATTTGGCATTTCAGTAGAACAGGGCTGTCTATTACTCACTTTTTTATTATACCATAAAAGGCCAGACAAATTTCACCAAGACAGATTCACTTAGCTAAATTGCGGCAGATTGAAAGTTTGAGATACTTGTAATTTCATGATTGATGGTTTAAACTTAAGGGGCAACTGGTGATTGTTCATAGGACAGACTGCTGTTAACCCCTATTAAAAATGAATAATCCAAAATTCAGAGGGAACAGAAGGCTAAAAACTCTATTGGCACGTGTAGGGTTTAAACCATCAACTTGAGGGCAACTTATCCAATTGGCCCTTGAATTCTTTATCTAGGTAAAATTAAATCCCTCGTCTATTTTTTGCTGAGCAACAATCTAAGCCATTTAAGGGCCTTATTCTTTGTACAACAATTGCGTGCTTGTTCTCGGTTGATTATTTTAACTAATTACGTTAATTTTAACTATTTGTTAATTCTAATTATTATCTATAATTAAATTTTGAAAAATCTAACGCAACTGAGAAGAAGGCTTACATCATCAATTTTTTATAGGCCCCCATTAAATGCTCAATTTTGGTGCTCGATCAACTTAAATTTATTTTGGAGCTAGTGAAGAAAAGGACAAGTGTGACATTTTGGGCATTTATGGAAACGGACAGTGGTTGGGCGGTTTGAGTTTTATGACTCTTCCCTAGTGATTAGGGATTCGATTCCTATCTCTATTAGGGCTTTGTTTGGCATTTGAGTTTTTTGCCAAGTTTGTCTGCTATAAGTTTTTTAAAAATTTTAGTTACAATAACTTCAAAAAACTTTTCAAAATTTTTAAATTATACACTTCAAAATATTCAAAAAAAATTTAAAAAACTTTTACAGTAAACTACAGTAAAATTTTAAATAAACATCCAAAAAATTTACTTGTCAAACGGGGCCCTAGACTTGAAAATATTATCGCAACCTGACGGAACATCAGACAAGTGTAGCTCAAGAGCAGCAAGAGAGGCCCCCCTCCTAATAAAATAGGATTTCCCCTTCTGCCAAAACCCCTCTTTGTAATAAAAATAGGATTTCAAAATCACATTTAAATGCCACATTTAAGTGATTTGCTTCCAAAAAAAAAAAAATTTAGACGGGTGTGTTGTGCACCCGTTTCGTCTGGTGGCGGTTCAGTTTTCTCCGAATTATCCCTGGACCTCCTTAGGTTCGCCCCCTCCCCTTTAGTGTAGAATAGATTAGGTTTATACGACAGTTATCGTTTCCGGAAAAAAAAAATATAAATAGGATTTCAAAAAAAAAAAAAATGGGCATTTCGGTGCTTGGAAGAATTACCGCGTAAGCGGTAGTCAGAATTTAGACTTTTACTCGTGTCCCTGAAAATTCAGGATTTCCTATCCTTGAGATTTTTGAGTATTTGACCAGTTGATCAGCTTTTACTTATCGTGGATCCAATATTTGCCTGATGGTGGTTTCCATTCAAGAAATTCAAGTGAACACTCAACAATCCTAATCCAATTTCGATAACACAGTACTGGATGTCGTTTTGTTGAATGCGACGCGATGTCCAAAGAAGACGAAGAACCTTTAGAAAAACCAGGGGATAATTCCAAAATCCTCCCTGAAGTTTCTGGCTATTTCATTGGTCTCCCTTTTCAGGTTTCAAAAATTACACTAGCCTCCCTTAAAAGATTAATTATTTTGTAACATTTATACCCAATCAATAATTAAAAAATGATATTAAGAGAGAGAAAATAATATGAATTCATCATTGTCCCTCATCTAGTACATTGTTTAATTAACTTAATACCAACCCACACAATAAAGAAAAACACTTATATTATTTCATATTTTTCACTTAACACAATATCCAAATTACTCTTTTTCAGTTGCATACCTACTGTCAAATATGATCAACAACAAATAATCAAAACATTTGCAACCAAAATATTACAGAGAACAAACTTTAACATCACAAATATTCTTGTCAATATGCTAAGATTAGTTATTGAGATTTTTATGGTATTAAAGTTCATTTTGTGTAATATTTTAGTTACAAACTTTTTTGATTATTTGTTATTGATCATGTTTGACAATGGATTTGTAATTGAAAAAAGCAAATTAAATTTTGTATTCAATGAAATATATATATAATGACATACCATTTTTAGTGCCATATGTGATTTAATCCCCAATGATAAACAGCAAATTACAATAATGTTTTCTTTAATGTTTGAACTGGTATTAGATTAATTAAACAATTTATTAATAAATAAGTGACAATGATAGAATCATATTATTATTTTCTCTCTCCTAATATTACTTGTTAAGTGTTAGTTGGACTTAAATATTACGAGCTAATAATTATCTTTAAGCGAGGTCAGTATAATTTTTAAAATTCGGAAGGAGGCCAGTGAAATAATTAAAATCCTCGACACTAACAAGTAACAGAGTCAGCGACGATGATGATTTTCATAACAGCATATTATACTCATGGCGCATTGCTTTTTCTGATCTTCCAAATACAAAGCAAGCACAATGGAGACACTGGTCCCCTCATGATGGCCAAATCCAGGTACACATCAACGCAATGAGTGTTTAACTTTGCTACGGGTGTAAATAATTGGCTCCGGCCAACCCCACTTTGTAATTTGGTCGGATGAATTTCCCATCAGCCAAGCTCTTCACCCCCAGAGGCAACAATGAATGGTGCTCAGTAAAGAATTGGTCTTGACAAGGATAGACGTGTTTCTTTAGAATTAGGCAGCCCATCATGCAGCAAGAGCGAAGCACTCCTTTGCTTTAAAATTTGCAGAATACAAGCACGATAACAAGGTAAAATCATTACAGCAAACCTCTGCTGCACACTCGCATAGTCGTCCAAGAAATTGGTTTTTCTTATCTTCTTGCTCCTGAAAATCCTGCTTGATAGCATTTTGAAGAATTACTGCAAAGGAAAAATAAACAGGATAGAAAGATAAACCTCCACTCTAATGTGACCATCTTGGACTCTAGCACAAAAACAGACAATTACTTTGCATGCCACGTTCTTAAAAATGAATGAATAAATAAATAAAGGGAGCAGAACATAATTGAACCAGCACCTAGAATCACGCTTGATTTTGTCAAGTTTTGAACATGAAAAAGCAACAGGGTATGTATTGGAGGAAGTCTAGGTTTCCCTGAGGCACGCACAATAGCTATGCATCAGTGCATATATCATTATTTGCAGAGTAAATTCCTAACGAAGGTGATATCATAACTAGGAACTAACCAGTTAAGAACATTATTATCAACTAAATAGGAGTCAGACCCACCTACATGAGACAATGTTCAAGATCTTCATGACTTGCCTAGTTCCTCCACTTATTGCACAAAGCTTCACTGTGGATATAAATGAATTTCCTCTGCCTCTTGCAGATTCAATCTAAAAAAATACAGTCAAGAAGTTTGTCTTCATTAAACATGAAAAAGTGGAAATGATGAATAGAAAACCTTCTGCATTTGATAAACTAGTATCAAAGAGAGCACCTGATTAAGACGGGAGTTACAGCTTAAAAGATAACACTGTAATTTCATTTCTGGCCTTGAGCACCTCAGCAATTTTGAGCAAAAGTTGAGCCAACAAATGCATTACAACCAGCATTAGACAGACACTGACATTAGGGAAAGATGGCAAACCAAAACTTTACAACCCTTCAGGCTTCATCTCTTTCATCCACATGACAGTACAGTAAAACCTTAGCCACTACAAGACCACAATAAGTTTTGCTTATAAGGCTAAACACTAACAGAATCAGTATAGAGATGCCCATCTATGTCAGGGACAAACCCCTTCTCCATCATTTCCTCCCTAATAATTTCATATGTCGTCCTACTTGGGACCAATCCTTTCTCCAACATCTCATTAAGATAGGAATTTGCTTCCTCCAACTTACCTTTCTCGCAGAATCCCTTAATCAACACATTGTATGATACCACATTAGGATGCTTACCTTCCTTTTCCATTCGTCTCCTCACTACCAAAGCTGCAGTAGGATTTCCTTCTCGACAATAGCCAGCCATCAACGTATTATAAGTAATATGGCTAGGAATTAGGCCCTTCTCAAAGATCTCATCTAGAAGTCTAACTGCTTTTCTAGATTCTCCTCTCTTGCATAGTTCATCTATACGAATGTTGTAGGTGACAAGATCAGCTGTCAAACCCTTCTCCTCCATTTCCTCCAAAAGCTTGTTAGCTGCTCCTAAGTTACCCTCTTGAAAATAACCACCGATAAGGCAATTGTATGTGGCAACACTAGGGCACACCTTTTGAGTCAACATTGATTGATGAAGTGCTATACCTTTATTCATGTTTCCAGCTTTACAATAAGCATCAATTAAAGTATTAAAAGTCAATGCATTGACTTCGACGCCTTTCTTCACGATATCATCAAACATCTCTTTAGCTTCCTCTAGCATTTTATTCTTACAAAATCCATTTAGGATTACATTATAAGTCCTTATATTTGGCTCAAAACCTAATCCAACCATTTCATCTCGCAGACCAAGAGCTTCATCAATTTTCCCTTCACCACAAAGGCCATTAATCAACGAATTATAAGTTGATATGCTTGGTGTTATCTGTTGCTCTTTCATCTCTTTAAAAAGCTTTAATGCAGCAACCACATTATCAGCCTTACAGAACCCATCAATCAGCACATTATATGTAATTTTGTTTGGGCATACGCCCTTCTCCACCATCTCCTTCAAAAGTGCGTCAGCTTTATACATTTTACCAGCCCCACCTTTCTTACAAAATCCATCAATCAAAGTATTATAAGTAACCACATTAGGCATAATCCCCAGGACCTTCATATCCTCCACAACATCACCTGCCTTATTCAACTTTCCAGCCTTACAAAAACCATTGATCACCACATTAAAAGTAATCAAATTAACATCAACTCTCCTCTTAGTTATCTGCCTAAACACAAACTCCATAGTTCCAACTTTTCCATTCTTCACCAACTCTCCTAACATTGGATTACACGAAATCACAGATAACTTAAACCCGTAATCTCCAGCCCTCCTAAAACCATCTACAGCTAAATCCAATTTTTTATTATTCACTAAAGCCAGTATCAGCATATCAGTAATAATAGAATTAGCACAAAAATCATCACCACAAGTCACTAGTGTGTGAAAAAACGAAGAAACCGAAAAAGGTGGTGTTTTTTTAACAGAAAAATGCAATAAAGATCGGATTTTTGGGTATTTGTTATCATTTGCTAGTAAAGCTATTAACTTGCATAAATGTTGTAAAGAATGGGAAACCTGGAAACCATGTTGGGACCATCTAAAGAAGGTGAGAATGGAATCTGAAGGGAAGTTGTGGTCGAATAATTGTTGGAGAAAATTGGATGGAGTTGTGGGTTTTAGCAGGGGTTTAAGCTCCGACCAGTGTTGGTTTGTGATGAGTTCTACAATTTTGGATTTGAATGACGGGTCAGACAGGGGGAGAGAAGGGTGGGTTGGGGTTTGACAGGTGTGGCAGTCGTGGACGGATTGAGGAAGTTTGAGGCGGAGGAGTGGTGGTGCAGCTGGGTGGCGAGGGCGGAGCCGATTCATTTGTGGGGCTGAAAAGGGGATGTGAAATCTGGAAGCTTGTGAATAGCCATTTAAATAGGCCAGTCAATGGTCCTGAACTAGCCCGAACTTGGCCGTAAAAAGCCCAATAAGTCAAATATTTCTGGGATAATTTCTTTTTGCAGGGAGAATATTTTTTTTTTTCACATACCCACACCAAAAAAAAAAAAAAAAGGTGTGATATATCTGGAATTATATAACCAAGAGTGGCAATTTCGCCAATCAATATAAGCTCAAGGGTTTAAGCAGGGCTTAATTCCTGCAGGAAAATGAAAATGTCATAGTACAAAACTGCGCCCTTCCCATTCCCTTCTTCTTCTTCAAGCATCCAAGGACTTCCACCAATGGCGGTTCAATCCAATCCAATTCCATCTATTTATTAAACTGAAATCACCAAAAGAAATAAAAGAAAGGAAAAACCCACATTTTCCCCTAAGTTAACAGCCTCTGCTCCTGAAAATGTTGAAGGCCGTAGCATCAACCTGTTTACAGTCCCGTTTCCATGTGGCAACGACGGCGTTTTACCCCTACCTCCGCCATGCTTCCGAGTCGAACTCCCCATTGCTCAGAGTTCTGGGCTCACTTAAGGGGCCCAATTACTCAAATAGAAGAGGCCCATATTTTTTCCGGCGATTCTTCTGCTCAGACTCCAGTGAAGATTCTGCCGAATCCGGGGCTGAAGCAAGACGGGTTGAAACGGATGGAGAAGATGCTGATTCTAAGTCCACCGCCGCAATTGTACCCACTGTCTTCAAACCTGAAGATTGCCTAACGGTATAATTATTGAGATTTTTTTTTTTAGTTTTTGTTGTGGTAATTGCCTTTGCCCATTTGAATTTTGCTTATATCTTTGGTTTTTTGGGAGGTGATTAATAGTTTTTGCCGTTTTGAAATTAATGTGAAGTGGGGTGGAAAAAGTTCGTCACTTTTCCTTGGTAGACATGTTTTAGTGGTTGTTTGCATTAACTGTTTTTGCTTTCTGAAATTTACTAATTGTAGCATTTGAGCATAAATTAAATATTCATTCGCTAGTCAAACAGGTAAAACTGCTCTTGTAATCTAATATTTTTGGCATGATAATTTCCCTAATCACAACGTTGAATGAATAAAGAGTTGAAGGAACTGGGAAATAATGCTCGTGAGGAGAATTAGCTGTAGCTGATAACGTATATTGTGAAATGAGAAAATATATTTTACATGTAACTCCTAGTCTTAGGTTAAAAACCTGTTGCTTGCAAAGGTGATCGTCTGGTTCCACTTTAAAATAAATTCAGTTGCATTCTTGGTTCCAACTTGAATCCCGAAAATATGGCAACCATCAGTTGTGTAGCCCTAAGTACCATTTTTCTGGAGTTGCAATGTGATTGATAAATTTAGAATGCAAAAATTCCATGATGTGGATCTTTGACTCTTATATGGGAATTCAAACATATGGATATGAAATAAAGTCATTAGATTTGATGGTGAAGAAACTTACTTGTGTTTTACCAGTAAAGCTCTGATCGAGGATTGGTGGATTGCAGGCTTTAAATCATTATTTTCATAGTACGGAACATGCTTCAACCCATAGATATTATAGTTTATAGCCATCAGAAATCAAGCTGGCTATGTAGCACTCTAACATTCATTACTGATGAGGTGTGGCACAGCCTCGTAGAGTCTCAATCTGACTAAAGAAATTAAGCTTCAGAGTGAGGCATTGGTGACCCGTGATTTCATTTTTTTTACATGGAAAATAAGCAAAATTAAGGTGTAAGATAACCCTAATACGCAAAAATATGAGCAATTCTTATTTACAAACACTAGACCTTGCATTAGTGGTTGTAGAGTGTGGTAATTTTGTGCATCAGAAGCTAGATATAGTTGTGAAGAGGGTAGGGTAAGAAATTTGATCAAGACAACTATCCTTGTAGAGCCCATACCTGCACTTCTCCTTCCTTTTCTCAATAGTTTAGTTTGACTGAAATTTTCTCGATGTTTTTTTCACTTACTAATTGAGAGTGTTTTACTTCTGACGTTTGCTTATAGATTCCAATTTATATTTCTTCTTTTTTATACATAGCGGTAATGAATTTGTATTTTTGTGCAGGTTCTAGCACTCCCATTGCCTCATAGGCCATTATTTCCTGGATTTTATATGCCAATTTATGTAAAGGTATGGGTGATTAGTTTCAAGATTCTTTCACTAAAGCTAATGTTTTTCTTTTCCAACATTATCGTTGATGATATGATTGTGGAGACCTGAGAGTTTTAAATATGATGCTTTTTAGAATGATGATCACAATGACTTGCTATATTTCTCTATTGTAAAACTATAAAAAACTATGTATTGTTGATGTGTATCTGATGCAGACTTTTTCCGATATTTGGGCAACCTGTGTTCTATGTTGAATGTATCCAGCAGTTTGTGAATGTCTGATAATTGGTCAAATGCTTTAAATGTCTGTTCCAGTAGAATATAACGGTGTTCTTTCATTGAATCTTCAGTAATGTGGTGAAAAAGTGCTTTCTTGGATGAACTTGCGGTGAACCTTAAGAGTACAAAGATATGGGTAAAAGTTCTTAGTTCTGCATAACTTCTCACTAGTACAAGCTAGGTTGTTGAAGCATGAATCTGACTATACATACATACATGCATACATATATATAGATATATTAGATGTAGTATAAGTTTCTCATTTAGTATCAAAATCTATAGCTTCCTACTAATAAATTAAATTGCTGCAGTCCATTTGTGGAATTTCTTCTTCGCCATTGGATTTAGGTTTCAAATCATAAACTGCCGAGGAGAAGAAACCTACAGTCTAAGGCAGGCTACTTGGGAAAAAAATTTTAATTGGCTTTTGTTATACCAATATTTATTGAAATATTCTACTAGTTTCAATTGTCTTTCACCTCCTTCAACCTTTTATCCATTGGTTAATGTGAGGAGCTTATCATACCTGTTTACCCTTTTATTTTACATGGAATATTATCTGCAGGATCCCAAATTATTAGCTGCATTGGTTGAAAGTCGAAAGAGACAGGCCCCTTTTGCTGGTGCTTTTCTTGTTAAAGATGAACCAGGAACAGACTCTGCTATTGTTTCTCCATCTGATGCAGAGAAGAACATATATGAACTTAAAGGAAAAGAGTTGTTAGGACGCCTTCATGAAGTAGGCACGCTAGCTCAGGTAATTAGATTTGCTGTTGTGTTTCTTGTTCTTTATTAAGAAAGAAATCTGAAGTGCAAACTGAGTATATTTGCTTGAGTAATATTGTTGTCAATTTTTTTTAATCCAAATCACGATGTACCTAATGTGCAATATATTTGCTTGAGTAATATTGTCAACATTTTTTTAATCCAAACGAAGATGTTCCTAATACTGACCTGTACTGGTTTTGTGATCCAGATTACAAGTATCCAAGGTGATCAGGTTGTTTTAATTGGTCATAGACGAATTCGAATTACAGAGTTGGTGAGCATGAGTTCTCTGCCTTGTGGTCAATTTTTGTATTCTGCAAAAAGTTTGTGCTTTTGCTCTAATTCGTGTTTGACTTTATTCTTTGTGGTGTATTAGTGGTGGAGCCTTATGAATATTTACTGGGTGCATTCTGAAATGGATCTTTATTTCCTTTTCTGATATTATAAGCTATTTTCCATATTCTCTGAACTGAAAAATCAGAGGCCTGATACGCTTACGACCTGCACAGGTTGATGAAGATCCCCTTACAGTGAAAATTGATCATCTCAAGGTAACTATATCTGAGTATATTAACTTACTGTAAGTTGAAGCTCCATTTTTTGCACTGGTCTTTCTACTCTAGTTCTTGTCTTGTGCAGGAAAAACCTTATGACAGAGATGATGATGTAATGAAGGCAACATCATTTGAAGTCATTTCAACCCTGAAAGATGTCCTGAAAACAAGTTCCCTTTGGCGAGATCATGTCCAAACCTACACTCAGGTTTGAGCATTATCCTTGTCATTCTCTTAATCTTTATTGTAAGTGTAACTTCATGAGAATGTTTTATATCTCTCAGAGTGGTATATATTGCTGTTTCTATTTTCTTCACTTTGTTATCGTTTGCATTTTCTAGTAAGTTCAGTTATCACTGTCTTCCACTTATTTAATGGTTTTCTACTTCATCTCATGCTTGGTTGACTACTGGGCTATTCCTGCAGCTTTACTTTTCAATAATTAGTCAAACTTCTGAATTAACTAGTGGTGCATGAAAAGTAGATTGGCTTGGATAAAGATCTAAGAAAATGTTAACAAATGTGCAATAGCGGAAGTTGTGCGAATTGTATGTCTGGTATTTGGTCATTAGAAAAAGTTCTTTGGTGCTGACTCAGACTTTTTTTTTTTTTTGCCCTTCTTCACTTTACATTTCTTTAAGTAAATAGAAGTCGCACTTTCACAATGTTGGGAAGCTTGGAGCAATTTTCTGTTTTGGAGCTTGACACAAGCTTGATTTTATTTCATCCAAAACTGAAGAAAATTTGGAGAAATTCTGAAATTATCCCATAATGCGTTCGATATAAAACTTATTAGAAGAGGCATAAGTTTATGAACTAGCAATTGCTTTTGGTGGTCTTTGAACATTTCCTTTCCTTTCTATGCAGATTTTCCGCATTTACAAGCATTAAGTTTTCTCAAGTTTCAACTCTATAGCACTTGTATCTCAGCTTGTATTTGGTGTTTTTTGCAGGGATTCTTTTCTAAAAACTGTTATTCATAGAAATTCTCTAGAAATGCGCATCTCTATTGTTTATGCATGTTTTGGGTTTTAACAATATTCAGTAATTATTGCCATCATCTAACTTCTGAATTGCTGCAGCATATAGGAGATTTCAATTATCCTAGGTTAGCAGATTTTGGAGCAGCAATATCGGGTGCAAATAAATTTCAATGCCAAGAAGTTCTTGATGAGCTGGATGTATGTCAGCTATACCCCCTTATTTTGAATTAAGAAGTTTCCGTCTCTTCTTGTTTATTTCATCATCTTGTGATGATTTGAAATGTTTGGTCCAGTCCTGACCCCCGTCTCTCTTTAATAACTGTGAGGAAAAAAGTTTCAATTTCTCATATGAATTTGAATTGTTTGGTTTATCTCTGCCACTACAGTTTTCAATCTGTTAATTGAATATAAGCATCATAAGCATTTTTCTTTT